AAGACCTTGTCACAAAGGATAAAACAGAGATTGGAGTACTATTAATATAACAGCAGCTGCAGACTTAAAATACAAACAAACACTCAGCCATAATGCTACTCACTCAGTCCTCAGTCCAGGAGGATTCTGATAAAACTAGCAGAAGGAGGCACACCCCAATCGCCTTTGACTTCGCTCTGTACGAAAGTCTAAAATGTGAAGGATGAAGTCATGTTCCTCTTTCTGACAGCAGATGGAGCCATTGAGACATGCACAACTTAACAACCACAAAGAGCTAAAGGCATCTTAAGACATTCTTCTATGATGATTTAACAGTCGAATGCAAGGGGTTTCTGTGATGGAAACTGGCAGAGTTCCTGACTCTAATGTGCCAGACCTGGTAGGAATTTTCAATCCTGGTAGGTCCAGCTCCCAGGCACCCGAAAGCTGGGGTACATTGTACATCCTGCTGAGAAGGAGGGGTTTTGCTTAGGTTTCAGGATCTGCACCGGAAGAGAACTTAAAAGTAGAAGTTACCTTCATGCCTGTGACATCTGTGACTAGAGATAATCTCTCACTCTTATCCAGGAGAGACTGAACATGAGGTTCACCAGGGAGCCTGTCCGCAGGCAGGAAACAGTCAGCAGAGAGGCTCAAAAGGCCCGAGAAAATACAACTTTTTTTTTTTTTTTTTTTTTTGAGAGGAACAGAGAGAGAAAGAGAGCACAAGGGGGTGTGTGGGAGGGGAGCAGAGGCAGAGGGAGAAGCAGGTTCCCCACTGAGCAGAGAGCCCGAGGCGGAGCTCAATCCCAGGACCCTGAGATCATGACCTGAGCAGAAGGCAGACTGAGCCATCCAGGAGCCCTGCCCCTGTAACTTTTTAATTAGAGAGAAATGTTCCCACCGCACACCCCCAGCAGTGCTTCAAATCAACCTCGGGATGAGGGCAAAATTATGCAGAAGAGAGTGAAAATATCTGCTTTAACGGAGGAAAAATCATCTGATCAAAACACTTGCGTCTGTACTGGTTAGAATTCAAGATCTATGTATCTAAAGGACACATTCAGGTTTTATTTTGTTTTGATGTTTTCCTTTTTATAATTCATTTTGTCACTTCATTCATTATTAACAGAATAGTGGTATGTGATCTGATTTTAAGAACACCCTTACCCGACACACACACACACAGTATTGGTAAAAATTAAACATTACTTTATGACCACGGGTGGTAATCATAGTTCTCTGGCACTGACTAGAAACGCAATATCCATAGTATTTTTTTTAAAGCAGTAAAGTTATTGGTATTGAATACTTTCTAGTGGTGAGTCCAGAAAAGTTTTAAAAAAATTAGATCATCTTTTCATCTGTAACACTTTGTGCAGTGAACATCATGATGCCCATCATACAGATGAGCATCCATAAGATAAAGTCTTAGAAAACCTGAACATTTGACTTAAGTCACAAGCTAGGAAGTAGAGAAACTAAAGCCAGATCTGACTGTTAAAAATTATACTATACAAATTCATTCTCTGAGACAACCTCTAAAATGTGTGTTTGGAAGTCAGGAAATGGGTGGTGTGGGCACTATCTTGTCTAGATTAGGGAAACAATACCACATGATCTCATCTCAACTGCTTCTGCGATTAGTAGGCTCTGCCAGGAATTCTCCTTCTTAGAATTTAAAAGGGTTTGTCCATTTTTCAGATGCCATCTTCCAGCAGCTGAAGATGTATTCACCTTTTCTAATCCTGGGACTAAACACAGAAGCAGTTTATAGTGATAAAAACCTGGTTGATCTGGATGCAAGTGAGTCGTAGAGGGGACTGTTGAGGGAATCAGAATTCCAGACAGAGACTCGGGAGCACTGTGAGCCAGGAAAGTGATATTTAATACCATTTGGGCAGTGGTCCTCAAAGAGGGGCAGTTCTCCCCCAGGGTCATTTGGTAATGTCTACAGACATTTGGGGTATTATGTGTGAGAGTGGGTGTTACTGGCAGTAGGAGGGGCAGGACCGGGACTCGATGGGACAAGCAAGGCCAAGGCATATGGAGAGGGCACTTAAAAACTCAGTAATCCAAAAAACAAAAAACAAAAAAAACCCACCACACCTCAGTATTCCAGACAAATGTTTAAAGGGTAATTTTTAGGGCTGGCTGGCTCAGTCAGTAGAGCAGGTGACTCTTGGTCTACGGGTTGTGAGTGTGAGCCCCATGTTGGTTGTAGAGATTCCTTAAAAAATAAAATCTTTAAAAAAATAAAGGGTTATTTTTAAAGATCAAAATTAATGCAAAAAGTCTATGATGAACAAAATATAAAAATTTTAAATAAAGACAGGGTCAATAACCATGCTGAGCAGAGCCATATTGGAGCCCGAGACAGAAGGGAAAATAAGAAATACCAATCCTTTCTTTATTTAAGGAATTTTAATTGATTAAGCTTGTAAATAGAATTAAAGGTTGAGGGAGTCTTTAAAGTATATCTTTTGAAAGCTAATTAAGTTCAATAAATAAATGCTAATTAAACATTAATCAAAGAACAAGTGAAAGTGAATGTTTTAAATTTTATCATAAAAGTATTAAAATTATAAATATGATTTGTACATTGAGATTCAAGTTGTAAGAAAACTAAGTTTTAAAAACTTACAACCACAATGAATTGAATATTAATTTAAATACAAGGAAATGTAAAACATTTTAAAGCTAAAAGCCCCATTCTGTGGCTAAAATCAAGTTCAGGTTTGAGATTTTCTCTGCCTGGCTGAAGAGTCCTGGCACATGTAGCTCTAAAGCTTCCGAGGGCACAGGCTCCTCACAGATGATAGAAATAGCAGTGTGAGCTGCAGACCATTTTCTGGGCACACCCTATGCCTCTTCACTTTTGCTCTTCTGCAAGATGAATGACCAGTTCCTTTTTTTTTTTATTTTTATTTATTCATTTGAGATAGAGAGAGAGAGCATGAGCAGGGGGAGAGGCAGAGGGAGAGGGAGAAACAGGCTCCCTGCTGAGCCAGGAGCCTGATGAGGGTCCTGGGATCATGACCTGAACCGAAGGCAGACACTTAACCATCTGAGCCACCCAGATGCCCCAATGAATGACCAGTTCTTAACCAGGTCATTGTAACTGCAGTCGAAGGTGCCGGGTTACCGGCTGGTCCTCATGATGGTGTGACACTGGAACTCCCTTTCCTGGACCCTGCCAATTCAGGAATTATATTCCTATAGAAGATAGATCTAGTTCAGTAGGAGAAAAAAAAAAAAAGGCAAAATTAAAACAATGCAGAAAAAAACAACAGCTCAAAGAATGAGATACCAACACAATTAAACTTGTGATTTTGGAGATAATTTCTTTGCCAAGGACAGTTTCCCTGACCTGAATCATTTGAATTAGCTAAAATCATTTGTCTCTGAAAGGCACTAGAAGCATAAGCCTTCATAACTGAGTGATGAATAACCTAAAATAATCCAGAATAGCTTCAGCTGGGTGTCTAAAAAATATAAAAAGTAAGAATCTTTTTTTTTTTTTAAAAAGAGAGAGTGCAAGTGGGGAGGGACAGAGGGGGAAGGAGAGTGAGAATCCCAACGGGTTCTCATGGGGCTGGATCCCTCGACCCCGAGATCATGACCTGAGCCGAAATCAAGAGTCGGACACCTAACCGACTGAGCCACTCAGGTGTCCCAGATGTAAAAATCTTTTTTTTTTTTTTTAGAGATTTTATTTATTTCTTTGACAGAGAGAGAGAGCAGGAACACAAGCAGGGGGAGTGGGAGAGGGAGAAGCAGGCTTCCCGCTGAGCAGCCAGATGCAGGGTTGGATCCCAGGACCCCGAGCCGAAGGCAGACGCTTAACAACTGAACCACCCAGGTGCCCCCCAAATGTAAAAATCTTAATATGAAAATAGAAATGAAGGATTAATGTTGTACTGAATGCAGAAGAGAGTGGGAAATAGAGCTGACAAAGTGAGAATTATTGGCCCTAATTCTCACTCTGAAAAAAAAATAACACAAAGAAAAAAAAATTTTTTTTTTTTAAATATTTTACTTTTAAGTAATATCTTCACCCAATGTGGAGCTCGAACTCACAACCCTGAGATCAGGAGTCACGTGCTCTACTGACTGAGACAGGCAGGTGCCCCAAGAAAAAAGTATTATTAAAATTATTTAGGGTGGAGGGATGGGTTAGCCTGGTGATGGGTATTAAAGAGGGCATGTACTGCATGGAGCACTGAGTGTTATACGCAAACAATAAATCATGGAACATTACATCAAAAACTAATGATGTAGTGTATGGTGATTAACATAACATAATAATAAATAAATAAATAAATAAAAATTATTTTGACTAGTTTTGGTGTAAGTTTACTGATCAACTTTATAATCATATGATTATGAATCTACTTCTAACAATATTTAAAGCAATTATGTTAGTCTGATGTATCAGATTATAGAAAGCTGATCAATTTGGGGGGAAACTTAATTTATGATAGCATAACTCATAATTTATTAGTACTATGAATAGTTTATAAATTAGGGAAATAGACTCAAATTGTCCCAGATGTGGCCAGTGAGAGCTAGTTCAACTTTCAGACTATATTCTTTTGACAAGTGGTCACCATTCTCCGAGTATTTCCTTACTTTCTGGTACCACAAGATATTCCAGACACAGGACACTGGGGTGGCTCAGTCATTAAGCATCTGCCTTCGGCTCAGGTCATGATCCCAGGGTCCTGGGATCCAGCCCCGCATCGGGCTCCCTGCTCGGCGGGAAGCCTGCTTCTCCCTCTCCCACTCCCCCTGCTTGTGTTCCCTCTCTCGCTGTGTCTTTCTCTGTCAAATAAATAAATAAAATCTTAAAAAAAAAAGACATTCCAGGCTTATCTTTTGATCTATAATTTATGGAATTAAAGAAAGTAAATCCATCTGTGTTAGTTCTTGTTTTGGTACTTTGTTGTCCATCTAGTGCAGTTAGATAGCTTGATCACTATGGGATATACTGAATAACAGACCAGCTACCGGTACTTTTTTTTTTAATGCAATACTTCACGAATTTGCGTGTCATCCTTGAACAGGGGCCACGCTAATCTTCTCTGTATCTTTCCAATTTTAGCTTATGTGCTACTGAAGAGAGCGAAGATACCAGTACTTTTTACCTTCCCAGAAGATGATTTTAGTTATGTCAGTTGGCTCTTTCCTCTTTGGCCCTCTAACTTTATTCCCTAATTAGTTCTTTTTTTTTTTTTTTAAGATTTTATTAATATATTTATTTATTTGAGAGAGAGAATGAGAGATAGAGAGCAAGAGAGGGAAGAGGGTCAGAGGGAGAAGCAGACTCCCCGTTGAGCAGGGAGCCCGATGCGGGACTCGATCCTGGGACTCCAGGATCATGACCTGAGCTGAAGGCAGTCACTTAACCAACTGAGCCACCCAGGCACCCCCTAATTAGTTCTTAATCATTTCTAGCATCTATGTAACTTTTTTTTATCTGACTGATATTTAAAATGCTATTATTAAATTATTGGCTGGTCCAAAGAAGAAGCACCAGGACTCATGGGAAGCAGGAGTGTTTCAGTCTTTTAGAATCAAGGAGGAAATGAAAGGCAATCTCAAAAATGAGAAGAAGAAACTTCCAGCTTGGATTGTGACTGACTAGCTTGTGTCAGGTCAACCGTCTGCTGAGGGCCGGGAAAACTGGATAAACATAAAAACAAGTACTTGAAAACATCAGAGAGCATTCAATGCAGGAAGGAATTGAAGAGGGCAAGGTGTTAGAGAGAACGGAAGGTTGGACACGACATTTTCTGACTCTCAGCAGTGCCAGAAAGACTGGGTATCCTCACAGAAAGTGGCAATTTGGAGGCTGGTAAAGTTGAATAGTTTTGGGAATCTCACAGGTTATGAAGGGGAAACATTGTAAGACCCACCCAGAGCTGCCCTAGGAATATTGGAAGGCTAAAAATAGACTCTGACCTCATAAAGACTGACAGATGCAAAAGTAAATTTTTCTCTGGAAGAAGGTAAGACCAGCCAGCACATTTCTACAATGTTTTTTAAATAAAATTAATTTTTAGAATAGGTACAGATTTCAATTGTGAACATAGTACAGAGAGTTCCCTGTATACACTATGTACCCAGTTTCCCCTACTATTAACATTGTACATCAGTATGGTACATTTGTCACAACTAATGACCCGATAATGATACATTATTATTGACGAAAGCCTATACTTTATTCAAATTTCCTTATTTTGTAACCTAATTTTTTTTTCTGTTCCAGATTTAACCAGGATACCACATTACATTTAGTTATCAGGTCTTCTTGAACTTCTTCAGGCTGTGATGGTTTCTCAGACTTCCCCTGTTTTTGATGACCTTGAAGGAAAAATATTTGCCATGTATTTTGTACAATGTCCCCATATTAAAATTTGATATATTTCTCATAATAAATTGGGTTGCAGGTTTTTCAGGGCAAAACCAGAGGTAAAGTGCCATTGTCATCACATCATATCAAGGGTAAATACTATCAACATGCTCATCGTTGTTAATGTTGACCTTGATCCCCTGGCTGAGGTGGTGTTTGCCAGTTTTCCCCACTATAAAATTACTCTTTATTCTCCTTTGTATTTGTACTCTTTGGAAAGAAGTCACTATGCACAACACAGAATGAGGAGTTATGCTCCAACTTAAGTTTGTGTACATAATATCTAGTATTTAATTGACAATATTAGACATACTAAAAGACAAGAGTTGAACTAAAACAGAAAATAAAATAAAACCCAGGTCCAGAGGTTAGAGTTATTACAATCAAACTTAAAATACCTATGATTAATATGCTTAAGAATACAAGTAATAAGATGAAAATTTTCAGCAGAGCACTAGAAACTAAAAAAAATAAATATTTAGAATTGATTTTTTTAAAGATTTTATTTATTTATTTAACAGAGAGAGACACAGTGAGAGAGGGAACACAAGCAGGGGTAGTGGGAGAGGGAGAAGCAGGCTTCCCACGGAGCAGGGAGCCTGATGTGGGGCTCAATCCCAGGATTCTGGGATCATGACCTGAGCTGAAGGCAGATGCTTAACAACTGAGCCACCCCAAATATTTAGAATCAAAAAATAAGGTAAGAAATTAAGAACTTTTTTTAAACTATGCTCAATGTGGGGCTCAAACTCATGACCCCAGATCAAGAGTTGCAGCTCTATCGACTAAGCCGGCCAGTTGTCCCCAAATTAAGAATTTAATGGGTGAATTTCACAGCAGAGTAAACACAACTGAATAAGAAATTAATTGGGCACCTGGCTGGCTCAGTGGATAGAGCATCCGACTCTTGATCTCAGGGTTGTGAGTTCAAGCCCCATGTTGGGCATAGAGATCACCTAAAAAAAAAAAAAAGAAAAGAAAAGAAAGAAAGAAAAGAAATTAGTTAACTGAAACGTAAGTAAGAAGAAAATATGTATATAGAAGAACAGAAAGACAAAGATAGGAAATGCAGGAAAGAGCATAAGTGGGTCACTGCGAGAAGGTCCAACATATGTAATTGAGTCCTAGAAGGAGAATTTAAAAAGAATGAGGTAGAAGACATTTTTGAAGATACAATGGCCAAGATTTTCCAAAACTGAAGACACCAAGACACAGAGTCACACTCATGGGATTACAAAACAAACAAAAGCAAAACAAAACAAAGAGAATATCTTGAACCAACCAGAGAACAGAAAAATAGGAAGCAAAAGTACAGAAGAACATGAAGGTTAACACTATGGAAAGAGCCTAGATGTCCATCAACAGATGAATGGATAAAGAAGATGTGGTATATATACAATGGAATATTACGCAGTCATCAAAAAAAATGAATTCTTGCCATTTGCAATGACGTGGATGGAACTAGAGGGTATTATGCTAAGTGAAATAAGTCAATCAGAGAAAGACAAGTATCATATGATCTCACTGATATGAGGAATTTGAGAAACAAGACAGAGGATCATAGGGGAAGGGAGGGAAAAATGAAACAAGATGAAACCAGAGAGGGAGACAAACCGTAAGGGACTCTTAATCTCCGGAAACAGAAGGTTGCTGGAGTGGTGGGGGGTGAGAGGGATGGGGTGGCTGGGTGATGGATATTGGGGAGGGTATGTGCTGTGGTGAGCATTGTGAATTGTGTAAGACTGATGAATCACAGACCTGTACCCCGAAACAATATATTATATGTTAATAAAAAAAATTTAAAAAAAAGAACATGAAGGGTAAAGCTTATGTAGAGAATGGTGGCTTTTAACAATTTAATATAATAGTTTGGGAAATTGATATTTGATGCTTTTTATTGAATATTATTTTTCAATGAGTAACTGTGGAAGAAGACTTTCAATGCTGCTGTAATTTATCAGTACCAAATAAGTGTGTATAAATAAAATATTAAAATTAAACATCAGAAACTAATATAACTATAGCTGTAAATTGACTAACTGAAATTAAAAACTCAAAAAAAACACATCAGATTCTTTCTTTCTTTCTTTCTTTCTTTCTTTCTTTCTTTCTTTCTTTCAGAAAGAGAGCACATGTATGCGTGAGAGGGGAGGGGGTGGGCAGGGGGAGAGAGAGAATCCCAAGCAGACTCCATTCCCAGTGTAGAGCCTGATGCAAGGCTCGATCTCACGACCCTGAGATCATGACCTGAGCCAAAATCAAGAGTCAGCTGCTTAACCGAATGAGCCATCCAGGTGCTCCTCTTTGAGAGATTTCTGTGTCCCTCTCACTACCAGCCCCCTCCTCCCTCCACACATGCACTGCTGTTGGGCAGAGACTTTAAAAGCCTGAGCATGATTAAAGATAAAGAGACATACAGGTAATATCAAAGAATCAGTCCATGAAAGAAAAAAAAGTTACTACTTCTGTCAATGTTCTAACTAGATTGCAATCACTCTGAGCATACATTAAGTTTTATCCTATATAGGGCATTTCAAATTTTGACTCCCATACTTAAATAGACATATCAAGAATGTAGGGAGTTGAAAAGGATGATGGTTAGAGAAACTCAGGAGAAGATGTTGATGGAAGGAGAAGTGTACAACCACGTGGGAGAGGCTTGCAACATGGTCCAGAAGTATTATACCACAACTATTAAGTATGTGTTCATCACCCAGCACCAACTACTTTTATGTGGGATAATAAGTATCTTAATATGAGATCTTTGCCCTCAACAGCCTTTCATTATTATTCAAAAGCTTTTAGCAATATGTTGAGATTAACTCTGTTTTTGATAGAATGTGGATATTTCCCAGAAGTGGAAAGGAAAAAAAATGCCTGGATGCTTGGGCCATAAGATCACAAACTGGCAGACAATAATATTTTACTCAGTAAAGTAGGAGAGTTTTTAGATATGTTGGAAGGACCCCTATTGATCTTCCTTGATGATGAACTTGATGGTGAGGTAGACAACTATTACAGAGGCTTGAGCTGAAAGCTTTGTTGGTGGGATGTAGGATTGACTAGATGCAAAGGAAGAAACCCATGTAGGCTACTCATGGGAAAGCACTTGGATGTCTAAAGCAAACAGAAATATCAAAGGACAAAGACAGAGACATATCAGAAAGGAACTCAAAAGCAACTACACATCAAACCTTAATATGGGAAAGTTATCTTGATCCATCGATGTTAATTTGACACCCACCAATGATACATTACTAATTCTGTAGTCATGCTTACTTTAGCATCAACCTTGACACCTACTCTAACAGCCCCAACCCAACCCCATCAACATCAAACACCTTGGACAACTGTCATTCACCCAGTGAGTGCTGATTACTCTTTTTTTTTTTTTTTAAGATTTTATTTATTTATTTGACAGAGAGAGACACAGCAAGGGAGGGAACACAAGCAGGGGGAGTGGGAGAGGCAGAAGCAGGCTTCCCGCTGAACAGGGAGCCCAATGCGGGGCTGACCTGAGCCGAAGGTAGATGCCTAATGACTGAGCCACCCAGGCGCCCCGACTGCTGATTACTCTTAAAACAAAATTATTTTGGAGGACAGCTGTACCTCTCAAAATGTAAAACATGTGTGGCCATTTGAGGAAGCAGGGTTACTTCCAGAAAGCTATTTTAGACATGTGCAAAAGGATTTATGTTTCCAGTATTTTCG